GTGGGCGGAGCTGCGTCCCAGAAACAATCCAGTGCAGGTTCTGTACAAGGTCCTCTTTAAATAAAGTCGGTGTTAGTCTTGCTGTGGCAATTCTGTTTTAAAAGAAGTACAATTATAAACATTCGTCAAATCTTGCCTGTAAAATGCAATTAGCCCTTGCGGTTTTCCTTATCCCCGTGGATTAATTTCAGTCAGTTCCGGAAATACGGTGGGCGAGGAGGAGAAAGTATTTGAAAAGCGTACTCCTAAAGCCCATTGCACGTACAGAACCGATACTGAGCTGCGGATGTGATCGCAATTTTGAGCTCGGTGGTTTGTCCCTCTGCGGCTGCCGGTGCTCTGCATTTTGCACTTTTGTCCTGCCAGCAAATTAAACAGCAAGGAAAAAAAAACAACGAAGAACCTGCTTTTAACACCGAGGCCGCTCGGGCAGTGGCAGCGAGACCAGCCCCAGCGCAGCGGTCCCCGGGAGCAGTCGTTAGCGGCGCTGCAGTGGCTAAGACTCACTGAGCAAGTCCCTCTGTTTCACTCCCAGGGCCCTTTCCCAACCCCCAACCCCAACCCCAACCCCAACCCCAACCCCAACCCACCCAACATCCTTGTAAAAGCAAAACAGAAATTGCTGGAGAAACTCAGCAGATCTGTCGAGAGAGAGAGAGAGAAGAGAGACAAAGCAGAGTGAACGTGTCCAGTCTTAACAACTGAAGTGGATAATCACTGGGAAAGGTGTAAGTATTTGCTCTAAACGCCTGCGTGGTGGGGGATAGGTGGGCGATGATGGGCTGGTGGGGGTGTTCAGTTTGGGACTGGTTCCTCTCTCAGGACTTGTCAGTGTTTCAGAGACAGTAGGAACTGCAGATGCTGGAGAATCTGAGATAACAAGGTGTAGAGCTTCTATCCGCCCTCCCCCTCTCTCCCTATTTATTTCAGAACCCCCTTCCCCTCCCCCATTTCTGAAGAAGGGTCTAGGCCCGAAACATCAGCCTTCCTGCTCCTCTGATGCTGCTTGGCCTGCTGTGTTCATCCAGCTCTACACCTTGTTATCACTTGTCAGTGTTTGTCTGTTATGTGCAAACCACCTTCTTCCAAAATTACTGCGGTGCTTTAAATCTGAAAAGAAAAAGAAAGTTGTTGGAGAAACTTAGAGAAGGCAAGAACTGCAGATGTTGGAGTCAGAGAGAACACAGTGTGGGGCTGGAGGAACACAGGCCGGGCAGCATCAGAGTCTCTGAAGAAGGGTCCCGACCCGAAACGTCAGCTTTCCTGCTCCTCTGATGCTGCCTGGCCTGATGTGTTCCTCCAGGTCCATGCTGTGTTGTGTTGCAGAAACTTGGCAGGTCTGATTCTGTAGAGAGATAAAGAATTAATAAAACGTAGGAGCAAAAGTAGGCTATTCAGCCCATCGAGTTTTCTCCAACATTATTATGATTGATGTGGAGGTGCCGGTGTTGGACTGGGGTGGACAAAGTCAGAAGTCACAAGGTTATAGTCCAACAGGTTTATTTGAAGTGACTTCACCTGACTGAAGAGCAGTGCTTGGAAAGATTATGATGTCAAATAAACCTGTTGGACTATAACCTGTTGTCATGTCACTTCTGACTTTATTATTGCTGTTGGAAGTGGTTTAGAAGAGATTTAACAGTATGTTGCTGGGAATGGACGGTCTGATTTATAAAGAAAGGCTGGAACTTTTTTCACTGGAGCGTATGAGGTTGAGAGGCAACCTTTTATAGAAATTTATTAAATGATAATGAGAGGTATAGATAGAGTTAATGTTTGTTGTCTTTTCCCTAGGATGGGGGATTTCCAGACTAGGGGTCACATTTTTAAGGTGAGAGGAGAAATCTTTTAAAAAAAGACGTGAGGGGCACTTTTTTTTTACACAGAGGGTGGTTTACGTGTGGAATGAACTTCCTGAGGAAGTGATGGATGTGGGTACAGTTACAATTTTTAGAAGACACGTAGATAAGTAAATGAATAGGAAAAGTTTGGAGGGATGTGGGTCTGAGCAGTCAGGTAGGACTAGTTTAGTTTGGCATTATGTTTGGCTTGGACTGAAGGGTCTGTTTCTGTGCTGTATGACTGTATGACTCAGTGAGTTTATGTCTGATCTGATTAACACTACCCTTTTTGAAGCTAATATCACTCTTCACTGCTACTGCTGTGGGAGGCTGGTGGTAAGTGTTGATGTCGGCTTTGGTTGGGATGATGTAATTCGTATCTAAACTGGTGAAGTCCAGTGTGAACCCAATCTAAACTGAGCCAAACCCAACCCAACATAACCTAACCCAAACCAGTCCAGTCCAGTCTAACACAACCTGATCTAATCAAATATAACCCAGTTCAATCTGTTCCAATCCAAACCAACGCAAGACTGTGACAGACTGGATTTTCAATCAGTAAGGGAAACAAGGGTTATGGGGAAAGGATAGGAAAGTGGGGCTGATGATTATCACATCAGACGTGATCTCATTGAATGATAGAGCAGATGGCCTACTTCTGTTCTTACATAAGAACTAAGAGCAAGTACAAGCCATTCGGGCCTGCTGCACAATTTAATAGGATCATGGCTGATCCTATCTTGGCCTAACCCTCACTCCTGCCCTCTCCCCATAACCCTTCAACCTGTTACTAATTTAAAAACCTATTTCCTCCTTAAATTTGCATCTTATGGTCTATTCCAACCTAATCCATTCAAGTTCAACATTATCGGGTTTAACCCAATTCCAAGCATTTTCTGCCCACAATGAAAATTCCCTTTGTCTTCGTATTTCTAGACTGTTCATATCTATTGAATCAGAGATAGTAGGAACTGCAGATGCTGGAGAATCTGAGATAACAAGGTGCAGGGCTGGATGAACACAGCAGGCCAAGCGGCATCATAGGAGCAGAAAGGCTGACGTTTCGGGCCTAGACCCTTCTCTCTTCGTAGTTGTTTGTATTAGCCCAAGGCAAGAAGATATAATGTGCCCGACTCATTACTGAGTCACACCTCTGGAAAAACCCATCTGGTTCACTAATGTCCTTTAGGGAAGGAAACTGCCATTCTTACCTGGCCTGGCCTACACATGACCCCAGACCCACAGCAAAGTGGTCAACTCTTAACTGACCTCTTGGCAATTAGGGATGGGCAATAAGTGCTGGCTGAACCAATAATGCCCACATCCTGTGAATGAATTAAAAAGAAACCTCTCTGGTATTTGTCAAGTCTTGCCTGTATGTGCTATCTGAGCTGATGCTAGAGAAAAGGCTAAATCACTGGTTTTGACTTGTTAATTGTGTAATTGTCATTCCAGCAGACAAGCGATTGGAAATTGGGCAGGTGAGTTTGCAAGAAAAATCACCTTCTTACACTCTATTATAACCTGTTTGCTCCTTTAAATGAACATGATGTAACCTCTGTTCCCAACCTTCAGCTATGATTATATGGTACTTTGTTTTTAATTTTCAAATTTGTTAAGATTTCTAAATTAGTTTTCTACCTCTCCGTAAGGAAGTAAATGTTTTAAGGATAAGTATCTTGGCTTACCAAAAACCGCATGCTCTTCTGAGGATAGGCATGTGTTTGGCCACCAATCTCTGGTGGGAATTTGAGATCTGGTTTCTTGAAGCAAGGGAGAAAATTGGAGAGTGTTTTCTGGAGTGTTCCTGTGTGCCATTGTTGGCAGAAGCTGGGGAGACTGTGTTCTGGTTTCCAGTTGATGTGATCTATGACATACTGAAGAACAAACTGAAGGGGAAGAGATTGATTTGTGAACTTGAGCCATACATATTGATACCGTTAAGCTCCTTGAAAAAGGAATCTGGAAGTAGTAGTGTATGGGGAAGAAACTTATTCACATGAGCAGGGAAGGAAGGGAGATTTGTCTCTCATCTCCTGTAATTATGATGGCTTTTGTGGATTAAAGATTACAGCAGCGAAACATACAGGACTGCTCATCAAGTTGTCTATAGTCTTTTGCTGAAGTTAATACCATATTTAACTGTTACAGAATGGCCTGGACCACTCAATTGTTGAAGAAGGTATTATTTTGGGACGGTGAGTGAGAGAATAGAGATTCAAGTTCAAAGTAAGAAGCGGGGTTGGAGGGAAGACTGACAAATCTCTCACTGGAAAGGTCAAGCAAAGGCTGGAGATGTAGTGGGGATGATCCAACAGGAGTTGGACAGAATCCTAGAATTCCCTACAGGGTGGAAGCAGGCCATTCAACCCGTCAAGTCCACACTGATCCTCTGAAGAGCATCCTACCCAGACCCAGCCTATCCCTGTGACCTTGCATTTCCCCATGGCTAATCCACCAAGCCGACACATCCCTGGAACTGCGGGCAATTTAGTGTGGCCGAACCACCTAACCTGCACGTTTGTGGACTGAGAGGAAACTGGAGCAAACCCACCCAGACACAGGGAGAATGTGCAAACTCCACACAGACAGTTGCCTGAGGCTGGAATCGAACCTGGGCCCCTGGCGCTGTGAGGCAGCAGTGCTAACCACTGTGCTGCTTTATATTAGCAGCTGTGAGAAAAAGGTTCTCTCAGTGAAGAGTAAGAAGCACAGGAATGAAGACTATGATGGAGGGAGAACTACACTGAGCTCAATTCCTTCAGGTAACGGTATATGGTCATGAAAAAGAGGTAGAGATGAAATCATGTCAGTTATAGATCTATTATCCATTTCCTGTTTTGCTGACATTTTAGTGCTCACTCATTGTCTTGCCTTAGCAATAACTTCTTCACCCATTCTTATTAAAACTTATTTCTGGAATGTGCTTGGTTTTTTTTTGCTGTATCTGCATTTATTGCCTTGAGAAGGCGATGGTGAGCTGCTGCCTTAAACTGCCTCTGCCTATGTGCTGTGGATAGACCCACAATGCCATTAGGGAGGGAGTTCCAGGATTTTGACCCAGTGACGCTAAAGGAACCACTAAATATTTCCAAGTCGGGGTGGTGAGCGGCTTGGAGGGGAAGTTGCAGGTGGTGGTGTTCCGATGTATCTGCTGCCCTTGTCCTTCTAGATGGTAGTCATCATTTGGAAAGAGCTGGCTGAAGAGCCTTGGTGAATTTGTGCGGTGCATCTTGTAAATGGTGCACCTTGCTGCTAATGTGTGTCAGTGATGGGGGGAGTGATGTTTACGTTGTGAATGACCCTTGTGGTTTGGGAAAAGCTTTTTTTTTTGTCTTGTGAAGGCTCCTTAGAATCCAGAGAGAAATGCCGTTGATTTTGGGAAGGTGTGTAATTAGTTTTCCTGAGTTTGAGGCTTTTGGGCTTCTGGGAAGGTCATGTGATCCCGGTTTCTATGAAATTGGAGGCTCACTAAAGCTAAGATAAATAAACCACTAACTAAAAGTATTCAGTTATAATGTTGGTGTTTGTAGCAGGACAGTTGCAGGACCCAAAAGTTCAGAACTGATTCTTGTGAAAAGCAGGAAGAAGACTGTGATAATGGAGTAGCAACTGTGTTCCTGTGTGTTGTCTGTTGTTAGAAAGGACGGGGAGTTGAAGGTGGAGAGAGCAGGGATTGGAAAAGAGCCCCATTGGTACTGTTTCTGCTTTGCCAAGGCCCAAGAGACTGTTTATAGGAAACAAAAACAAACTCATGGCAGCATCTGTGGTTTTCATTTTTTTCAATTCATGTTTTTATTTCAGATTTCCAACATCTGCAGTTCTTTTGTTTTAGAAAAGTGAAGAAGTGTTGTTACAGTTATATAAGGCATTAGTGAGACTACACTTGGAATATTGTGTCCAGTTTTGGACTCCTTTATTTGAGGAAGGATGTAGTGGCTCTAGAGACAGTTCACAGGAGGTTCACCAGGTTGACTGCAGGGATGAGCAGCGGTTTTATAGCTTGGGCTTGGACTTGCTGGAGTTCAGAAGAACGAGGGGGCGATCTGATTGAGTGTATAAAATGTTAAAGGGGATTGATGAGGTATACATTGAACAGATGCTCCCCCTTGTGGGACAGTCTTGAACAAGATGGCATAGATATAGAGTGAGAGGGGTTAGGTTCAAAACTGAGATGAGGAGAAACTACTTCTCTCGGGGAGTTGTGAATCTGTGGAACTTGCTGCCCTAGAGATCAGTGGAGGCAGAATCAATCAACAGAGTCAAGAAAGAAATAGATATGTTTCTGATGAAAAGTGGGATAAAGGGCTATGGGGAGCAAGCAGGAGAATGGAGTTGAGATCAGGATAAGATCAGCCATGGTTATGTTAAATGGTGGAGCAGATTCAAAGGGCTGAATGCCTACTTCCTGCTCCTAATTCCTATGTTTTATTTAAGACTGTGTGTTTATTTAGGGATGGGAGAACAGAGTCTTTGGGGATTCTGAAGTTTGTGTCACAGGTAGACAGGGTGATTAAGAAGGCAATTAGCATGCTTGCCTTCATTGCTCAGACTACTGAGTATAGGAGTTGAGGTTGTACAGGGTATTGGTGAGGCTACGTTTGGAGTACTGTGTGCTATTCTGGTTACCCTATCACAGGAAGGATATAATTAAACTGGAGAGGGTGCAGAAAAGATTTGCCAAAATGTTGCTGGGAATGGAGGGCTTGAGTTATAAGAAGAGATGAGGTGAAGCGAAGTGATGCCTTTAACTGTGTGAGGCATATCTTTGTCATAAGTGAAAAGCAAATTTCACTTTAAAGCATTTGCCAGTTAATTAATCTTTGAATTACAATGTAAAGGGGTCTTAGTGAATCAGATGGGTTTTTGGAACATGTGCAACATTGTTAGCATTACTGGTACCAGCTTCTTATTTTATTCCAGATTAATTTAATTAACTCAATTTAAATCTCTCCTCTTCCATGATGGGATTTGAACTATTATCTTTGGGTAATTAGTCCAGGTGTCTGGATCATTAGCCCCTTAACATAGCCACTGTGCTAGCACACGTGATAGCATTTGACATATTTTGTGTCCCTTGGCAGGTTCACCCACCATGGAAGGGATCAAGCATGTAGTATCCACTGCGAGAGCTGCCTACAATCGGGGAAAATCCCGGCCTCTGGAATTCCGCATCCAGCAACTGAAGGCGCTGGAGAGAATGATCAATGAGAAAAAGGAGGAGTTCTCAGTAGCGCTGAAAAAGGACTTGCGCAAGGTTTGAAACCGAGCCGTAATGTCAAAGTCTTTTAACCAGGTTGCACAGCCACTCTCCGCACACGCACACGCACCTGTTTGTAGCAACCACAGGGAATGCTCTAGGAAGTCAGCAAATCTGGCAGCATTTGTGGAGTGAGAAACACAGTTAACCTTTTGAGTCCAGTGACCCTTCTTCAGGACTCCTTGCCTTGTTTGTATCTTGTTTATGTTGTCTTATGAGGACCCATTCCTTGATGTATACTTGTCTCACATCTATTTCTCTCTCTCCACCATTAACAACCCCTTTGTCTTTGTTCTCTGGACCTCTGCCTCTGCCAAAATACTTTCCACCACCTTTTAGCTCGTAAGAAGAGTTGTACTAGACTGGAAGCGTTAACTCTGTTTCTCTATCCACAGATGCTGCCAGACCCTGTGAAGTTTCTCCAGCACTTTACTGTTTTTTGCTTACAGCACCCACCATACTGTGGAGTCATTATCAATTGCCAGCCCAGATAAGGCTGGTAGGTTACCTTCCTTAATGGCCATTAGTGATCGCCACAATCAGTAATGGCTTTGTGGTCCCTGAATCACTAGGCCAGGCTTCTGGTTTGCATAATGACATAGAAAATAGGAGCAGGAGTAGGCCATTCAGCCCAAGGAGCCTGCTGCACCATTCAGTACGATCATGGCTCATTATCTGGTTCAGTACCCTCTTCCCACTTTCTCTCCATAGTCTTAAACCCCTTCAGCCCTAAAAACTACATCTAGCTCCTTCCTGAAAACATTATGTTTTGGCTTCCAATGCTCTCTGTGGCAGAGCATCCCACAGGCTCGCCATTCTCTCTGAGTGAAGAATCCAGTATTATTGTAATTGTTCCACTGTGTCCTGTTCTTAAAACTGGCCTCATTCATCAAGAAGGATCTTTTGTGGCAGAGAGACAAAGGAACTTAAGAATTAAGATCCTGACCATGGAGTCTGGCTCACAAATACATGAGTCCCAATGGTGGGGTCAAATAAAGAGGCTCCACGAGGCCAATAGAATAGGGGCCAGGTTTGGAGAGATGTTGAGGAGGCAGAGTTGGGAAAGACTGGGATGAAACCAAGAAGGGATTTGAACTTGAATTTCAAATTTGAGGCTGTGGGGATTTGGGAATGAGGGCAGGTCAGCGAGGACTGAGGCAGGATGTGGTCAGCAGAACTTTGATTGCTGGGAAGGGAGGTGTGTGTGAAAATGACTGGCTTAATTTGATTTTGCAGAACGATTATGCTGTGGATGTCTTTGAAATTGCCGGCATTCTGAATGAGACTTCTCTGGCCATCACCAAACTACCCGAGTGGACTGCTCCAGAGTACGTGTCGAAGAGTATAATGACATTAATGGACACTGTTTATATCCATCGAGAACCTCTCGGGGTGGTTCTTATCATAGGGGCCTGGAACTATCCTTTGGCTCTTATTATCCAGCCTCTAATTGGGGCAATTGCAGCAGGTGAGCTCTTCGTTAATTACCTCCCAATCTCTGCCGGAAATATTTAATTTGATTTGATTGATTATTGTCACGTACCTAGGTACAGTGAAAAGTTTTGTTTTGCATGCAGCACAGGCGGACCATACCATTCAAAGCGCATTAGGGTAATAGAACAGAGCGAGGAATACAATGTTACGGCTACAGAGAAGGTGCGCAAAGATTGAGATCAACATTAAATTTGAAATCTGAGGTTCATTCAGAAGTCTAATAACAGCAGGGAAGAAGGTGTTCTTGAATCTGTTGGTAGGTGTTTAACCTTTTTGTATCTTCTGCCAGATGGAAAAGATTATAACCAAGGTGGGAGGGGTATTTGTTGGCTGCCTTTCCAAGTGGGAAGTGTAGATGGAGTCAGTGGATGGAAGTTTGGCTTGTGTGATGGACTGGACTGTGTTAACAACACTCTGTAGTTTCTCACGGTCCTGGGCAGAGCAGTTGCTGTACCAAGCCATAATACAATCAGTGAAGTCTTTTCTGTGCTGTGGATTGCTTAGTAGTCACACAGCCACCTTCTGGATTTTCCCAGTTGTTGTTGCACTTCTCTCCTGGTGATGGATGTTAGTGAGACTGTGTGTGTCTTTTATTTGTACTTTTTGAGGCAGCAGCCCTGATTTTTAACATAACCGGTCCAACAGGAAGGGATTTGGGTTCGGGGCAGTCACAACAGACCCCAAATAAAGATGTTTCAGTTTAAAGTCTGGCTTGGTGAGTATCCGTCGATAGTTTCATAGACTCCCTACAGTGTGGAAACAGGCCCTTCGGCCCAACAAGTCCACACCGACCCTCAGAGTATCCCACCCAGACCCATTCCCCTATAACCCACCTAATCGACACATCCCTGAACACAACGGGCAATTTAGCACGGCCAATCCACATAACCTGCACATCTTTGGACTGTGGGAGGAAACCGGAGCACCCGGAGGGAACCCACACAGACACAGGGAGAATGTGCAAACTCCACACAGACAGTCACCCAAAGGTGGAATCGAACCTGGGTTGCTGGTGCTGTGAGACAGCAGTGTTAACCACTGAGCCACGGTGCTGTTTCATCAGATTAAATCTATCTTACTTTGAACCTACACTCATTTACTTTTTGTTATTTCACGGCATATGAATGTCTATCGTTTATTCACCGTCCCTATTTGCCCTTGAACTGAGCGGCTTGACTGTTTCAGAGGGCAATTTAGAGTAAGTACCATTGGTGTGGGTCTAGAAGCCAGACTGGGTAAGGACGGAAGAGTCCCTTCCCCAAAGGGCATTAGTGAACCAGGCGGGTTTTTGTAACAATCAATGTTAATTGTCATGGTCACAGTCACTGACTTTATAATGACTGATTGATGAACTGAGTTTATACTTCACCAGCTGTCAGTGAGATTTGAACCAACCATCTCCCCACTTGCAAACAACAGGAGCCTGGAAAGGGCTCAGGAGCAGAAATGTTTCTGAATTTGCCTTCCCCACCCCCAAACTATGTGACTGTCTAACAAATCCCTCCTAGGGAATTCAGGGAAGACCACTTTGCCAGAGAATGGTGAAAATGTGAAACTCACTACCCCAGGGAGTGGTTGAAGTGCATATTGGAGATATATTTAAGAGGACGCTGGATAGGTGAGTGGGAGAGAAAGGGACGGTAGGATTTGGTGATGGCAGGATTTTGAGGAACACCAACATCAGCTTGGGCATTTTGGGTCAAATGTTCTGTTTCTGCGCTGTTATTATTAAGTCATAGCTTGCTCAGTAAGGACTGTCGCTGCTGTGTAATAGCTTGCTCA